TCTCCAGCACAACTGCTGTGTGGCGGGATACCTGACTCTTGCATGTGCATGGGAGTGATGTCATTCAGTGCCAGCCAATCAAGAAGGCCGAAGTCCAACCACCAGAAAAAAACAGGGACAATATGTTGGTGCTGGATCCCTTTCTCCATTTTTTAATTTTTCTTGTTGCTAGGTAGATTGAAAATACAAAATGCATCAAAAAACGGAATACATGCTTTACTGCAGTGTTTCCATTGAAGTCTATAGAAACAAAAAAGCAACTTTTTGCGCTCAAAAAAGTCCCTGACCCTTTAAAACGCACGCCTGTGAGTGAAAACGCACAGGCATGAACATGTCCAATAGGAAATCATGTAAAATGCACTGTACTGCATTTCTGCAAAATGCAAAATGCTGCAGAAAATGCTTAGGTGTGAACCTACGGTAAAGTAGAGCTAAGCTTACTTTTTCTTCAACAGTCCATGTCCCTTGCTGGGGCCTTCTTCTATATGTCAGTCTTCAGCCGTGTCTATTGGCCGGTGCAGGGTGACATCATACCTGTGCTTATGCAGGAGTCAGTCGTTCCGGCACACAGGGACCATGCAGGAGATGTAACCTAAGCTGTGCATGCGCAGCTCAGTTTAAGTGCCAGAGAACATTGCATGCAGGCAGGTAGGTATATTATACTGCAGAGGAGTGATGCAATGCTCACAAGTTTGTGACAGAGGAACTTTAGTTCTGTTTTAGCCTGGGTTCACACTAATGTGGTGCGGAATTTGCAGCATTTTCTGTGCGAATTTCGCACCGCATCACAATCGCACCCCGTTCATTCGAACCGCTGCGGGTGTGTATGTTAAGTTAACAACACGCCGAAATCGGTCTGCAAAACACGGTGCGATGTGCAGAATCGGATCGCATAGGTGTGAACACTCAGTTCTCGATTCTAGTTCGGAACAAAAAAGGGTCCTGCACCTTTTTGGTGCGGGTGCGGTGCGATTTGAGCCATACAAAATGTATGGCTCCAATCGCACCGCACACAATTTGCATGTGATTTCCGCAGGAATGTGGTGCGGTTCCTGTGTGAATCACATGCGATATGCCGCACCGCACAAGTGTAAACACAGCCTTAAGGGAAATCACTGAAATTGTGTAAAGTATCTATTTATCAATGATTCCACCCAAGATTTATACAACTTTCACCCAAGACTCACCCATTTTTCAAACCAAATCTTATGTAAAAAGTGCAAGTGGGTGAAAACACTGAAGATACGGGTCCACTGACCATAAACATTGGGCTATGTAATCCCATACACACATAGACAAGGTAATTTGCCTCATGTCCTAGTTATTCAATTGACATCATTGTGCTGTGGTGGTGTGCGCTGAAAAAAATAGAATATGCTGACATTTTTTTCACTGCTGAGTGCTGCGACGCATTGCACCAAGCGCTGTGGTGCATAAAGACGAGTAAAATGTCATTTTATGACATTTCACTAAAGTTAGAAAAATAGAGAAAGGTAAACAGTGTGATATGTCATTACAACGCATCATATCGCTCCTTCACAGGGCACACCAGCAACTGTGCAGTAATGCGCACCGCTGGTGTGAATGGGCCCTATGACACGAATAGAAAAAACAGATACCAGTCAATCCAATCCTGGTGTCTAGCTGGTCAAGCATGCCAATATTTGGTAAGCCAAGGTGGTTATATTTAACCACGGAACCTTATGTGGTCCACATCGTTGGATCAAAATTATACGCTAGGATTTAAAATCAAATGTTCAGGGAGGCAAGTCAGCTATGCTCATGACCCGATGTGATCCTTTTAAAATGTGAAACACGCTCTGCTGGGCACAAGTCCGTTGGGCGTGATTACAAAAAGACAGATTTTGTTCTTTAGAAAAAGTACCCCTTCTGCTATCTGTATACCTAATGAAAAGAGTAGCAAAATTGTAATAAATAAGACACCCTTCCAAAAATGACATACACATCAGAAAAAAAAGAACAAAGAAATATTATGTGTCAAAATGTTTAGCTATAAAGTTGCAAAAGAGGCTGCAACAATTACAAGACAGTTCTTCTATGGGGTAATGAAGTTTACAAAATCGACTTCTGTGTTCCACGGCCACATGACATCTAAGGGCTTGTTCACACTTGACTACATTTCTAACTCTTACCAAATGCTCCTAGAACCTTAGTATAGGCGATAGACAGGCATTAATGAACTTAACCTCCCTAGCAGTCTGATTATGTCCATATTTCTGTGCTCAAAGCGGTACATTTTTTGCATGGAAATATGTATTTTTTTTATTGTAGGCTTGTAATTTTTAGGAATAACTCACTGAAATCTGTCCGAACAAGAGTCTAGTAAACATCCCGGGTATGATAAAGTTTGAAACACGAAATCATAAATTATAGTATAATAAATAATCATAAAAAATAATAATATAATAATAATAAATTTAATTAAATAATGTAATCAAACCAAAAACACTGAAATTTGAAATATAGCGCCAAGCTCGCACATCACTGAGCAAAGTCGCAAAATCGTTTTCAGTGTCTGATGATGAATTTCCCCACGAATCATTATCACTCAATTCTGCAAGTGGTTCTGATTTACTATCGCTGTTCTCTAGCTGGTCTAAAACCGATTTTGACCTAAAGGGACGCTTTTTGGACGCCAGTCAGTTTCCAGGCAGAAAGAACAGTAAAAATGTAGGCAGGGCACTAGGGACAAAATGTATGTGAAATGGTTTGATATAGTAATGTTATACGATGTGATTTTAGTGAATTTAGTGAATGTCACTTTTTGTCATTTTCAAATTTCCCGCCGTTCCGTCCCCCGTACGTCCCGACGTCGCAGGGGACGGAACCCAGAAGACAGATGCCGGCATCGGCCGGATGACATTGCTGGGGACACTGCAGGAGGGACATCGCGGGAGCGCAGGACAAGGTAAGAGAAGAAGAGATCCCGGAGCAACGCTGCAGGCTATTCCCGAGTGTAGTTCGGGGTTACCGCTTGTGGTTCTGAAACTTTACCCCGAGCTACACTCGGGAATACCGCCAGGGAGGTTAAGGGCTCGATCACACTTGACTTTTCTTCCAACTCTTGCGAAACGCCCCTATAGCGTTTGACAATTGTTGGTCCGGCATACGCTCAAAAACCGCCACATGCGTGGTTTAGCAGTGGTTGCTAGGCATTTACCAAGCGTTAAAAACGTCCCACAAATGCCTATAATGAAGTTTGAATGGTGTTAACGATCCACAAACGCCTCGCAACCGCACGGCAAACACCGGCCGGGCGTTTGCGGAGCGGCACCATAGACTTGAATAGGAGGCTTCAACTGCTCCTGACTCGACCAGAGGCGTCCGTTTTGCCGCGACGCGATGCTAACATTCCCATTTGAACAGCACTATGTGTTGCAATGTGCAGAATTTTCCAAGGCATTTGGAAAATGGTAAAAACGCTTCCCAAACGCCTGTCTGCTGCCTGCTTACAATGCTAGTGTGAACGTAGCCTTAGACTGGCTTTTTACAAGCAATAAAAACACTCCCCAAACGTCCTATGTGCAGTTTTGAAGCGTATTCTAAGCATTTGACAAACGTTACATCCACATCACAATCTAAATAAACTGTAATGTTTTTAACGCTCCACAACCACAACGCAAATGCATCGCAGACACCTGCCAGTGTGTTTGAGAAGTGTCACCATAGACTTGAATGGGAGGCGTTGAAAGGCTTCAAACGCTTCCTGACTGGACATGAGGCTTCAATTTTAAATCAACGCGATGCTAACGCTTCATGTTTTGATAATGTGAACAGCACTTTGTCCTGCCCATAGTTTCATTTGCATAGGCATTTGAGGAGCATTAAAAACGCCCCTCAAACACCTGCTTTCAAAGCCAGTGTGAACTATGCCTAATAATAACTAGCAATAACTACAAAGTGTGTATTTTACTGAGATTCCTTTAAAGGTATACTTTTTAAAAGTCCATAAAATAAATTCAAACGTAGCTGTACATTGCACGTCCCGAAAATTGCTCTAAGCCTTTGGTCACACCAAATCTGATTTTGAAATTGTGCGACTTCACTTGAAATCGAATGTCAGTGCAACTTCAGGTGTGACATGGAAGAGATCTGTGAGACTTCATGCACAGATGTCTATGCAAGTCGCACCTGAACTTGCAAAAAGTAGTGCATGAAGTACTTTCAAAATCGGTGTGACTGTGATGGAGTCGGAATCGCAATGATATGACTGCTTCCATTAGAGGCAATAGGGTGCGACTTGTCATGCGATTATAAACTATCAAATCACATGACAAGTCGCAGTGGTGCGTCTGGGAACTAAAGATAAAGCAGCTTTTGCCCAGACAGCCTGACCAAGGTTCAAACACTTTCCCACTACACCCCAAAACCTGGGCTGGATTTGGATCTAAAAAAGAATATATACTATTATCAATGTGTTGAAGAGAGATCATCATGATGTAAATAATCTTCTGAACTAAAGAGACCCTTTCACTAGTCTAATCATATCTACCAAAAAGTCCCAGAAGATTATATAGGTGTAAATGTACAGGTGCAGGTAAAGTCAGCAATAAGAAGTCAAACTATTAACCCACTAAATACACACTATACATTGAATACAATATTTCTCTTGCGATTCTGTGTGACTCAAGTCGCATCAGAAGTCGCACTCATGTGAACTGGGGCTTAAGCTGCTGATTGCAAAGCAATAACGGAAACAATAATTATGCTAGTAGAGGACTTCCTATATAAAATAAAAAATACCAAATTCAAATAACCACACATACAATTTTACTGCCAAACAAATCATAAAATAATAGGGATTATACCCAAAGCTCGCCCTCCACATCACAATCTGACTGTATAATCTTTAACCACCTTCCGCCCGCCCTATAGTACAATGACGGGCGCAAGGTGGTTCTCTCGTTCTGATAGGACGTCATATGACGTCCTACCATTCTCACTGCTCGTGCGCAGCTCAGGGAGCGCACAGCGCGGCGATCGCCGGTCCGCTGTGTCCGAGGGAAGAGACGAAGAGACGAAGATGTCGGCTCGGTCATGTGATCAGCTGTGTCCAATCACAGCTGATCACATGTAAACGCGGAAATGCCGGTTATCGGCATTTCTATCCTCTCGAGCTGTCACGCTGACAGCTCGAGAGGAGAGCCGGTAATCGGCTTTCCACAGAGGGGACATGTACACTGATCATCAGGGCACCGATGATCAGTGTGCCCTGATGATCAGTGTGGCCCCAGCAGTGCCACCTGTCAGTGCTCATCAGTGCCAGTGCCCATCAGTGCCACGTGCCAGTGCCCATCAGTGCCACATATCAGTGCATACCAGTGCACATCAATGCCACATATCAGTGCCCATCTGAGCTGCCTTTCAATGTCACCCATCAGTGCCAGTCAGTGCCACCTATCAATGCCAATCAGTGCCACCTATCAGTGCTGCCAATCAGTGCCACCTATCAGTGCCAGTCAATGCCAGTCAGTGCCGCCTAACAGTGCCAGTCGGTGCCGCCTAACAGTGCCAGTCAGTGCTGCCTATGAGTGCCGCCTATCAGTGCCATATATCAGTGTCATGTATCAGTGCTGCCTTTCAGTGCCCATAAGTGATTCCTGTCAATGCCCATCAGTGCAACCTACCAGTGCCTCCTCATCAGTGCCACCTATCAGTGTCCATCAGTGCAGCCTGTCAGTGCCCATCACTGCAGCCTCATTGGCGCACATCAGTGAAGGAGAAAAATCACTTATTTACAAAATTGTATAACAAAAACTAAGAAAAAAACTTTTTTTTTTTTTTAATTTTTCAGTGGTTTTTGGTTTGTTTAAGAAAAAAAAAAATCCCAGAGGTGATTAAATGCCACCAAAAGAAAGCTCTATCTGTCTCAAAAAAATGATAAAAATTTCATATGGGTACAATGTTGCATGACCGCGCAATTGTCATTCAAAGTGTGACAGCGCTGAAAGCTGGAAATTGGCTTGGGCAGGAAGGAGGTATAAGTGTCCTGTAGGCTAGTGGTTAAACAAACCCTTTTAGATTTGTCAGAACTATGTAATAACAGGATCTGCCTTAGGCAGGCCATAGATGGAGCACATTTCTTTCCTGCAAACATCGTCGGTGTTACCAGGGGAATCCCTCTCAGGGACACTGTGTTCCTCCGAAAGGGGGGGGGCGAGCGAAAGAAGCCAGCCCTGCCAGGAGAAGACAGTGATTACTGCTAGCAGCTATAACAGCCACTTGCAATAATTGCATGTAATATCTGGCAGGCTGGTCCAAGTTGACCTATCGACCAACATGGGTATTCAGCCTGCCCATACATGATTCAAATCTTGGCTGGTTCCTGCTGAACCGGCTGAGATTCGAAACCGTCTATGGCAGGGGTAGGCAACCTGTGGCTCTTCAGCTGTTGCAAGACTACAAGTTCCATCATGCCTCTGCAAGTCATAGCTGTAACTGTCAATTTTGCAATGTCTCATGGGAAATGTAGTTCCACAACAGATAGAGAGCCACAGGTTGCCTACCCCTGGTCTATGGCGGGCTTTGGTGCTCAGAGGTGTGGGTAAACCAGGTGTTTGGCGGAGCAGGCAGCAAGAGAGGTAAGTATGCTTCTTTGTAAGCACTTTTCTCAGGATATTTGTTCAAGTCACAATTGCTCAGGCTCAGCTTGATCGGGCTCAGGTAAGAATAAGGGGGGCTGGGGAGCTGCAGCACAGAAGGTTTTTCACCTTAATGCATAGAATGATCGATCTCTTCCAATAGGGAATCAATCTATAGTAGACAACACATTCATTCAATCGACAGGGCACACACAGAGAATTGAATTTTGGACAGATAGTTAAAGTGTTACTAAACCCAGGACCCTGCATTTACTATATCTGGTCTCCCATAGTACACACAACATGGAAATGCAATTATTTTATAAAATATAAACTGCTAAATACCTTTTCTCATCAGAAGTTAGAGCTTTCTGCTCTAGAAGGATGCAAAACCCCTGACCTCTGTCCGGATAGTGCTGATTGGCAGTGTACTGATCACATGCACTCTCCCAAACAAAAAAAACAAAAAAACAAAAACCTCTCTAGCAATACACACTAAACTGAGCATGTGCAGAGTGTCTCCACACAATGTCTTATCAGGAGATAAGAGGGAGACACTGAAAGAAGGGGAGGATCAGAGAAATCAAGATCAAACAGCATTTTAAAACAATGCAGATGATTAACCCCTTAGGTTCCACAGTGAGTATAACAAGCAGGCTTTACTGCATATACAGACTGATTTTTACTGTTGTGGGTTTAGTAACACTTTAAGAGCGGATTCACACATGTGCAGTGTGGATTGAAGCTCAGGTTTCACAGCTAATTGACACAGTAGTAGTTCAGGTCAGGTTTACATCAGGTTCAGGTCAGGATTTAATCCTGTTTACACATGTGTGGTTAAGAAACAGTTCTCATAGAAGTCAACAGCCTGTAATCCGCACCTGAACCGGAACGCATTGCTCGGAAATCGTACAGGACTCTTTTTCAATCCGCACTACAAGTGTATTGGACATATATTAACAGGCACCATAGGAAGGATGTTATTTGACATGTCATGCGGATTGGATGCAGTTCAAACCTCATCCAATCTGCATTTATGTGACGGGCACTTAGGTGTTAGAACAACTGTAGGCAATAGAATTGCTTCAAGAGAAGAGAGCTACAATTTGAATGTCAGCTGTGTAACTGGCACCGAGACAGATATACTGTACAGGTAATATTGGGAAAACGAATAGTTTAGTGCTAGTTATGACTAGATTGCACATGCTACATTTATGACTTTTTGCCAAATACTATTGTTTCTCAGCTGTTCCAGCACGGAAATAAATGCAAGCAGCCGAGTTCCAATGTCTCCCTTTAAAGTGTACTCATGTGTCACTGTAGTATGTCTGAACTCTCACCATGCTCAGCACAGCCATTGCAGACCGGTGAGAGCAATTCTTCTTTTGACAAATGGCTCAGGCAATTATTTCTACATTACTCTGCTCTGAGCATTTTCTTCCCCAATTTGTTATCCAGATTATCTTCAATGAGCAATCATGGGAAGTGTGCAAATCGCTAACCAACAATAAGCTACTTTGTCTGTTATCTCTGTATTAGTCACTCAGTGGGGGTGATTTACTAAAGCAGTACATTTGTCACTTAGCCAAGTGAACCTGTACTCACTTTAAACATCCCCTCCCCAAAAAAAGGATTATCAAGTATTATTGGATGAAGCAAATTTGCCATTGAGCCAAGTGTAACATTACTCTTTTAGTAAATCGAGATCCATGCACATTTTACTTGCCTTGTGTTTGGTTTAACCACTTCAAGTCCGGACACTTTCACCCCCTTCCTGTCCAGGCCAATTTTCAGCTTTCAGCGATGTCACATTTTGAATGACAATTGAGTGGTCATGCAACACTGTACCCAAATTAATTTTTTAGCATTTTTTTTAACAGATAAAACTTTATTTTGGTTGTATTTATTTACCACTGGGATTTTTATTTTTTTTTTTTGCTATATAAATAAAAAAGTCCAAAAATTTTGAAAAAAAGTGTTTTTCTTATAAAATTTTACAAATAAGTAATCTTTTTTCATAAATATTGGCCAAAATGTATTCAGTTATCTTTTTAGTAAAAACAAAAATAACCAAAATTAGTTTATAACCAAAAATTATAATTTTTTAAATTTTTTTTTTACATTTTTATTTATTTTTTTTATATTATTATTTATGTTTTTTTTTTTTTTTTTTACATACTGTCACCCTAGCAGTACAGTGTCACCATAGTGACACTGTACTACTTGTGGGGGGTAATGATTTTTTTTTTTTGTAACTGATTGCTTTTATACCCATAAAGGCTGTAAAAGCAATAATTTCTTCTCTCTGGCTGCATTCTTGCACCCATTGAGAAATACTGTTGTGAATAGCCTTGTACCATGTGACCTCTGTGATCATTCACAGATTTCACACGTAGTGAGCAATGATGTCAGAAGTGACATCTTGCTGTGATCACTGATTGGGCATTCAGTGATTACATGACGGGACCTCACACAGAGGTCCTGTACAACGATCAGTGTTCCACTGTGTCCGGAGGACATAGCGGGCACCGGATCACGGTGCTGCTGCACGCTCCCAGGGAGCGCGCACAAGCAGGGGGTGGGGAGGCCGTTTATAAAAGGCCACCCGACCTTGCACTGCCACCGTCCAGCCGTTTATATACATGGGCCAGGACGGGAAGTGGTTAAGAAGTGGTACAACCAGACAGGCTATGCTAAGGTGGGTCACTGCATTTAAAAGTAAAAATATGGGCTTCCCCCAAGAAAGGACCCATTTATAGCCCTCCGGACAAAATGGTATACTCCAAATCAATTTAAAGAATAAGTTCCCCTTTCATAACATGCTACATGTTACACCCATATTCAGGGTGTAACATGTTATGAATGGACCGGTCCCCGCTTTGACAGCTAGCAGGGGATCTTCTCTCCCCGCTAGCTGTCAAAAAAAAAAAAAAACACTTGGGCGGGTGGCCGTGTCACTCATTTACAGTTTTTTCCAGTATATCTGCTTGCCTGTACATCCCGTATGGATAAGCAGATATACTGACAGGTCTGCAGGAGAACTGCATGGCACCAGCAATCTGCTGATCACTGATGCAATGCTTTACAGACTCCCAAAACAAAAAATAATATCTGCACATTTTTTAACCTTAACCTTTAAATTACTTGTGGATTATCTTCACAACTGCAAAAAAGTGCATTCCTGGAAAAGTCCCACACTCTCAATTCAACAAGTTCTTACCAATATGGCTCACAAGGTGTTTTTAGAAAAACTCAGCAAACAACAAAATGACACCCGAGTAAATATGAAGGTGTTTGGTCCCCATGGATAGACCTTTTTCTATCAACTTTCTATAGAGATTTGTTGACCTTATGAATCTACTTGAAACCCTTTGTTGCTACACCAGAGTTTTGGAGGGAATGGTGCAGCAGTGGTGGTTTCTACTTCAAAGCAAAATCACATCACATTGACTTCAGTGCAAAATCACCCCCTATTGACTTCAGTGCAAAAACGTCTCTATTTAAGTTTTTTTCATTTTATATATAGATTTCATTTTATTTTCTGTCCAATTTTTGTGTGTTACTTTCAATAAGTTATTTTACGTTACTTGACTGTATTTTTTAAAATTCATATTCATTTAAATTCATGATAGCAACTAAAAAGTCGAATATAATACACTTATATAAAACATATTAAAAAAAAAACTGTCCATTTTGGTTTCGGTTTTTGGCCAAGTGCAACCTGAACTTTTGGTTTCGGTCCTGAATTTTCATTTTGGTGCACCACTAGTTTCCACCTCCCTTTCACTCATTTTTTGGTCTTGCTCTTTCCCTTCACCCCATGATGTACACTTGTTCTAGTGACAGATCCTTCTGCAGTAT